TTTATTTTTTTATAGGGAAGAGCGCAAATGTAGTCCCCCACTACCACAAATTATGCAGTCGAGTTTCCACATTTGGGGAAATCGCAGGGGTCAGCACATCCAGAGTGCAATGGATAAGCCTCACCCTGGGAAAACCACCTTCATGATCATGGTATCTCCCCTGCCAGGTAAGCAGTCTGAGATTTAAGACTCATGTCTAAACTACCAGTACCATGGCCAGGTATAGATAGATAGATAGATAGATAGATAGATAGATAGATAGATAGATAGATAGATAGATAGATTTCAGAGAGGAAGAGAGAGGGAGATAGAAACATCAATGATGAGAATCATTGATCAGCTGCCTCCTGCACGCCCCCTGCTGGGGGTTAAACCCACAACTGGGGCATGTGCTCCAAATGGGAATAGAACCATGACCTCCTAGTTCAGAGGTCAATGTGTAACCACTAAGCAACAACAGCTGGGCCCATCCCAGAGTTTTACAGGCTTTTTTTTTAATAAATCAAATAGGGGAAAGGAAGAAGAAAGAGGTAGTTGGAAAAAATTTAGATAAGCTATAAGCAAAAGGGTGGTAGAAGGTGAAGGGGGGCCAGCTCTGGGATAGAAACAGAGTCCCAGTAAACAAATGTCCACTCCTATAGACTGGCAGACAGGGAAGTCCTTGTGTAGACAAGAGATGAGTGTGTGAGGTGCTCCTGGAGATAGATGGTGCCTGGCTAAAATAACTTGTGGAAAAAGCCACCTGGAGATTAATTTAAAGTTACAACAAGCAAAACAGGGATGTAAGCAGTCTTGTTAACTGATCAGCAACCACGAGCAGACTAACAGTTGTCTCTTTCTTTCACTCTCCAGCCACTATAATTTACATCTCAGAATTTTCTCCTTGTCAACAATTATAGCAGAAGAGGCTGACATCTCGCTTTACTTGCATTTTCTTGTGCCCTCTTCATGTTTACCAGACCTTTTGCCAAATATTCTCATTCATCTCTTGCCTGGCAGAAGTTCAACTGCTACTGCTTTTTCCAAGGAGGTGACCTGAGTTCTACCTGTTTGGAAATAAATCTTTCCAAAGACTGTCCCTATGGAGACTACAGAAGAGAGCCTGCTTCCCACCCCACCCCACCCCATACAGGTGGCATAATGTTATCTGTTGAAGCCACTTTTCACAGGGTCTCTTAGCTACTAGATCTACCTCAACAAGCCAACTGAACAAAGATTAGCTGCAGTTTCTATAGAGAAGGCAGAAAATCTTGTGTTCTCCTTGCTCAAGCTTCCTGTCATTTAACAGCAACAGATAACAAAATAACCATGAACCAAAAGATGCAAACTCTGGGTAGTCCTTGTTGCTCATCAACTCAGAAGATGGGTATTCACTGAGTGCCTGCGTGTGTCCTGAATTGTCCAGATGCTGATGATAGTTGTATGTAAGGTAGACATGGCTATGTCAACATGAAGTGCCTAGGTAATGACACTGGAAAAGCAGGAGCCCCCACTGCTGACAAAACCATTTCTGTTGACCTAATTTCATGAGCTATACTTATGATAAGAGGATTAATTATTTAGCAGCTGTATTGTTTATTCCTTTTGATCTCCTTATTTTCATGTTGAGTTATCCTTTATCAGCACCATATTTTTTTTTTTCTGCAAAACTGTCTTAATGAAAGCTATATCTGTTTGATGCTACGTCAGCTTTATTCTTCTGTTTTAGACCGAGGCTTAGCATTTAAACTACTGAAGAATATTATATAAGCTTAAACTGAGGAACATTCTATGAAATCACTGGCTTGTGTTCTACAAAAATGCTGTCTTGAAAGACTAAAAAAGACTGGAGAAGTATTCCACATTAAAGGAACACTAACAGATATGATCATTGGAAGAGGGTATAGGGGTAATAAATGGTGATGGAAAAAAATAATTAGGACAATTATTAGGGAAATTATTAGGAACTACTAAAGAAATTGGAATATAGACTGCAGAGTAGATAAAATTGGAATATGGACTACAGATTAAAATATTTATCAATGTTAAATTTTCTAAATTTGACCAATGTACTATAGTTATATGAGATAATATACTTCTTTAAAAATACACAAAGATCAACCAAAGGACTTGTATGTATGCATATGAGCATTGAGCATAACCAATGCACACAGACAGTAGCAGGGTGAGGGCATGTGCTGGGGGTAGGAGCCTGCCAGGGAGAGGTCAATGGGGGAAAAAGGGAGACTTATGTAATGCTTTAAACAATAAAGAATTTTTTAAAATATATTTTATTGATTTTGTATAGAGAGGAAGGGAGAGAGATAGAGTCATCGATCAGCTGCCTTTTGCACACCCCCTACTGGGGATATGCCCGCAACCAAGGTACATGCCCTTGACGGAATCGAACCCGGGACCCTTCAGTTCCCGAGCCAACGCTCTATCCTTTGAGCCAAACCAGTCTCGGCAACAATAAAGAATTTTTAAACACACACACACACACACACACACACACACTAAAATTTTCAGGGGAAAGGAAATATAATGTGTGCAACTCAGGCTTAAATGGTTCAAAAAGTATAAACAATAAATGTGTTTGTGTGTGTGTGTACTATACGAGAGGGAGGAGGAAAGAAAAGGTCAGAGCAGCACTAACCGGTTTGGCTCAGTGGATAGAGGGTCGGTTTGTGTACTGAAGGGTTCCAGGTCTGATTCCAGTCAAGGGCATGTACCTTGGTTGCAGGCACATCTCCAATAGGAGGTGTGCAGGAAGCAGCTGATCGATGTTTGTCCCGACCAGCCGGAGATCAACCTGGGGGCGAGGAGGCACTTAGAAGGGAATGATAGAGGACAGGAGACACTAAGAAATGGAGGCAAGACAGAGTTCTGATCAAGCCTCGAATTTTTTTTGTTGAAGCTGCAATATATATATATATATATATATATATATATATATATATATATATATATATTTTTTTTTTTTTTTTTTTTCCGAGAGCCAAATTTTTTTATTTATTTATTTTTTTTGGCACAACACAGTATTTTTATTTATTTTTATTTTTTTATTTTTTATTTATTTATTTTTTAAATCAATCTTTATTGTTCATATTATTACAAAGGTTCCTCATTTCTTCCCCCCTCCACCAGGTTCCCACCCCACCCTCCGACCCCTCCCCATCCCCCATTGTCCTCATCCATAGGTGCAGTTTATGTTCAGTCTCTTCTTCCCTCCCTTTCCCCAATAGTAAATCCCTTTTCAGATAGTAAATCAGTTACTTAGCATTTTCTCAAATCAACAATACCTCCACATGCCCAATGATACACTTCACACAAAAGACATTTCCCAATAGGTCCACCAGCCTCATCCAGGCCCCACCCAAGGCAATCACAGATCAACACCCCAGCCCTATACTAACTCAACACATCCAGATCTAAGCCTTCACTTGATTCAGCAGACCCTCAAGTTCCCACGAAAATTTCCAGCCATGTCTGAGAAGCAGCCGTGGGGCAGGGGCAGGCGAGGAGCGAGCTGTTCCGGGCCTGGCTGCTCAGGGCCTGGCCTCTGTTGCTCTGGTTCGTTCCACAACCAGCTGCTCCAGGTCTGGTCACTGCCGCTCCCGACCTAGTTGCTCTGGACTTGGCTGCTGCTGCTCCGGGCCTGGCGGCTCCCAGCCTGGCAGCCGCTGCTCCGGGCCTGGCCGCACCCGACCCGCCTGCTCCCCTGGGCCTGGCCGCACCAGCCCCGGCTGCTCCCCCGGGCCTGGCCGCTCCCAGCCTGGCAGCCGCGAAGCTGCAATATATATACACAGGCTGTAGGGGGAGGTTGCCGCGGAGACATTCCAAGGCGGGGCAAACTATGAGAGGGAGGATCAGGAAGGGGACTTTGTAGGGATCTTCCGGAGCAGGATGTGTCGTTTAGCTTCTGGCCAAGCTGCAGGGCACCACATGATCTCTGGTGACTGTGAGTTGTAAGAAGAGTTGGAAACTTAACTCCCAAGATGGAGTTGTATTTTCTAAGATGGAGTTGCTTGTATCAACTCTGATGGCTCCCAACATCTCCTACTTCTTTGTCTTATTGAGGGTGGGCCTTAACCGATTGGGGGAGTAGTGACCTGGTTCCTCCCGTGGGTTTCCCAGGCCCACCAGTGCTAGTAGTGGCTCTTCGTATCTTTTGGGGAGGAGAGGCAGAGCCAATTAGATTTGTATTGATACCAACCTCTATGAAAACCAGGTATACTCACAGGGAAATCCAGAGGGGGTCAAAATTTTCCTGTGACCTTCCCTTGGGAAGAGGGGGTCGGAAAATTTTTTGGACCTTCCCTTGCGATGCTTTGCTCCGCACCCAGATCGGTACCCATACCTTTCTCCTTAGTGGGGAGTAGGTAAGCATTCCTCTGGTCATCATGCTGTCCCCGCAGGGAGGGAGCAATGGTAAAGTTCATAATCTTGCTCACGGTCAGCTATGGCTAAACGGTGGTAATGTACCTGGATGGGCTTGGCCAGGATGCTATCAACCTGTTTTACAAAACCTGTTAACTTCCGAAAAGCCCAGGGGCCGAAGGATAGGATCAATATCAGGATTAAGAGGAGAGTCAGGGTAAAAAGGAGAAATTGCCATGACCTGTAAAAAAGGAGAAATTTGTCTCAGGGAGTAATTCCCTGGAGGAGAGATTGTTATTTAGGGGGGTCAATGGGTTTGATCAGACGTTCAGGTAGCCTCGTGGTCCCTCTTCTTGTGTATCGTAGATACATGCGGACCCCTGTCCCCAAATGAGGACCAGATCGGGACCATGCCATTTGGAGGTTAAGGGATCCTTCCACATACCTTTGCATATTGTTTTTTTTTTTGTTTGTTTTTAAAATATATTTTATTGATTTTACAGAGAGGAATTGAGAGGGACAGAGAGTTAGAAACGTTGATGAGAGAGAAACACCGACCAGCCGCCTCTTGCACACCCCCCAGTGGGGATGTGCCCGCAACCAAGGTACATGCCCTTGACCGGAATCGAACCCGGGACCTTTCAGTCCACAGGCCGAAGCTCTATCCACTGAGCCAAACCGGTCCCGACTGCATATTGGTTTTTTGTTTCTTGGTGCCATAAGCGGTCTGCAGCTGAGTTTTCTTTATTATCTAATTGTAAAAAATTAAGGGTGAATAAGGCATGATTTAAGATATTATGGGGGGAGCCTTTTGTGGAATAAATGTCATTTGTTTTAAGTTTATTTATGGTATTTTTGAGGGTCTGATGAGCTCGTTCTACTATTCCTTGCCCCTGGGGGTTGTAAGGAATATCTGTGATGTGTTTAATTTGAAATTGGTGGCAGAAGGTTTGGAAGGCTTGTGAAGTATAGCCAGGCCCGTTATCTGTTTTTATCTTTTGGGGTTTTCCCATAACGGTGAGGCATTGGAAGACATGGGCTATAATGTTCTTGGAAGCTTCACCACTGTGAAGGGTGGCAAAAATGAATCCACTGTAGGTGTCTATTGTTACATGAACATATTTAAGTTTGCCAAATTCAGGGATATGAGTGACGTCCATTTGCCAGATTTCATTAGGGAGCAGGCCTCTTGGGTTGACTCCTAAATGGGGGAGTGGTAAGAGAATAACACCTGATGTTGCTTGATTTTGAGTCTGGGGAATGAACCTGATCGCCCCTTGGTTCTGTTCCTGGGGTGGGGCCAGGGGCTGCCCCCTCTGGAAGTTTCCCCGTTTCTGAGGAATGGGCTTACCTTCAATGTCTGTTTTTGAGCGACATTCATTTGCCCAATGTTTGCCGCGTCTGCATTTAGGACAGACTGATGAAGGGGGCGGTCGAGACTGTTTCCCTGTTGGACAGTCACGAACAAAATGTCCAGGTTGTTTGCAATTGAAGCATGTTTTTTCCTGTGTATTTTTTGTAAAATCTTTAAGGGCGGCCCCTATGGCCAGTCCGATGGCGTGAGAGGTTCCTATTCCCGAGCAAAGTTTGATATTATCAGAGAGGCTACCGCAGCGGTGAGGTCTAATAGTTTCCTGGCAAGATGGGTTGGCATTTTCATAAGCGAGGTGTTTAATAAAGGCGCTTTCTGTTTCTCCTTCCCCGAATAATCGCTCAGCGGCATCAGTTAGGTGGCTGACAAAATCACTATAGGGTTCATCGGGTCCTTGGCGAATCTTGGCCAAAGAGGTGGTGGCCGAACCCTTGGGGGGAAGGCGCCACCAAGCCTTAAGGCCGGCATTTTGTATCTGTGCTAATAGGCCAGGGGGGAAGGCAGCTTGTGCCTCATTGGTGTCATAAGGACTCCGACCGAGTAGCTTGTCTCGCGTCCACGAGCAGGAGATTTCACTTTCGCTGTTGCGCTGTGCAGTTTCTCGGCAGTTTTCTACAAAACCTGTACGCCAAAGGACATAGTCACCCCTGGATAACGTGGCTCGAGCTAAGGAAAGCCAGTCATTAGGAGTTAGCCACCGATCGCTTAAGCTTTCAAGTAGGGTCAAGGTGAAGGGAGCCGTGGGACCATAGCTGCTAACAGCTGCTTTTAAATCTTTTAAATGTTTAAGGTTTAAGCGGCGGTATTTTTGGCCTTTAGCCTGGGGCTGATCTGGGACAGGGTCATCTGTGTCTGAAGCCTCATCAGCTGAGTTTTGATCTTGGTTCCGGGAATCGGAAAGGTCTTTCTCTTCTTCCTCTTGCTCTTCTGAGGGGGATATGGGTTCTGGCTGCGGGTGACAGGGAAGGCATGGATAGTGGGCTTGGGCTTAGAGGGTTTAGGGGGCTTTTTTTCAGTAGTTTTTGTAGGGGCGGGAGTTAAAGTGGTGAGTTCAGCCTCAAGGGCTTGGATTTCTTTAATGAGTTGAACATGCTCATGCTTTAGTCGGAGAATTTCTTTTAAGGACGAGACCTCTTGAGTTAAGGTAACTTTAGCTTGACGGATGTGATCCCAGCAAGCGGGAGGGATGTGGAATGGTTCTAAAATTGGGGCCAGGAAGGGGTCTCTGGAGGGAAGGTGTTTAAAACAGGAGGGAAGGGGTTTGATATAGGGAGGGGGCTGAAGAGGGAGGGCGGAGGTGAGGAGAGGCCAGTCGGGGTTATGATATTGGGCGGCTTCTTCCTCTAGGGTAGCCTGATCTTCGGGGGGTAACTCGTCATTGCAGTGTCTTGTGGAGAAGGAGGTAAGGGCGGGATAAATGTTAGAGGTGGGTGGGGGGTTTTTAGGGGGATCAGTATCCGAGGGAGAAGTTTCTTGTTCAGGCTCCTTGGGAATGTCAATGGAAACTGAACAGACCGAGGGAGGACGGGAAGCCTCCTTAAGGGCTGTCTCTCCCGTTTCAATGATTTTTATTTCATGGGAACTTAATGCCTAACCCATGATCCTTCCTCTCTTCCACGTAAGCCTCCGGGACGTATAAACCCCGTACCAGGTCAGCTCAGGATTTTACCTTCTTATCAGATTTCTCCTACTTGGCTAGCCTCTGTCAACCTTTAAAAAAGGCCCCTGTTCACGTATCATAGGTCGGGATGTATAAGCCCCATGCCAGGAGGAAGACCATTAAGATATAATTAACTCAGGGTTTTCAAGAGGTTGCCTTTCGGTTCGGCTGATAATTGGTGACTTTCCTGAGTGATTCGGAGTCTCCTCTTCCAAACTCGGGTACCTTTCACTCTTCCCCGAGTGGTTGAGAGGAAGCTCTTAGTGGACTAGAGAGTGCAGAACATGAGGTTCTCTAAGATCCTTTTTTCTATTATAACCCTTACTCCTCGCGTCTTGAGGGATTCTTTCAAATGCCTGACCAAGAAAAATTCACTTGCTTACCTTTCTTGTCGATCTGTCTCACAGGCGGACTGAAACCGTGGCGATCAGGGAAACGAGTCTTTACTCGTGAGTCAATATTGCACGGCGACTCAAGGGGTGTCCGGCCGGACTCTCAGCAAGTGTTCCCAGGACGGAGCCGTACCTCAGACCTCGCGTTGGGTGCCAATTGTCCCGACCAGCCAGAGATCAACGTGGGAGCGAGGAGGCACCTATAATAGAAGGGAATGATAGAGAACAGGAGACACTAAGAAATGGAGGCAAGACAGAGTTCTGATCAAGCCTCGAATTTTTTTTTTTAAATCAATCTTTATTGTTCATATTATTACAAAGGTTCCTCATTTCTTCCCCCCTCCACCAGGTTCCCACTCCACCCTCTGTCCCCTCCCCATCCCCCATTGTCCTCATCCATAGGTGCAGTTTATGTTCAGTCTCTTCTTCCCTCCCTTTCCCCAATAGTAAATCCCTTTTCAGATAGTAAATCAGTTACTTAGCATTTTCTCATATCAATAATACCTCCACATGCCCAATGATACACTTCACACAAAAGACATTTCCCAATAGGTCCACCAGCCTCATCCAGGCCCCACCCAAGGCACTCACAGATCAACACCCCAGCCCTAAACTAACTCAGCACATCCAGATCTAAGCCTTCATCACTTGATTCAGCAGACCCTCAAGTTCCCACGAAAATTTCCAGCCATGTCTGAGAAGCAGCCGTGGGGCAGGGGCAGGCAAGGAGCGAGCTGTTCCGGGCCTGGCTGCTCAGGGCCTGGCCTCTGTTGCTCTGGTTCATTCCACAACCAGCTGCTCCGGGTCTGGTCACTGCCGCTCCCGACCTAGTTGCTCTGGACTTAAGCCTCGAATTTTTTTTGTTGAAGCTGCAAAATATATATATATATATATATATATATATATATATATATATATATATACACACACACACACACACACACACACACACACACACACAGGCTGTAGGGGGAGGTTGCCGCGGGGACATTCCAAGGCGGGGCAAACTATGAGAGGGAGGATCAGAGAGGGGACTTTGTAGGGATCTTCCGGAGCAGAATGTCTCGTTAAGCGATAGGTTATCTTTAGCTTCTGGCCAAGCCGCAGGGCACCACATGATCCCTGGTGACTGTGAGTTGTAAGAGGAGTTGGAAACTTAACTCCCCCCAAGATGGGAGTTGTATTTTCTAAGATGGAGTTGCTTGTATCAACTCTGATGGCTCCCAACATAAAGGGTGAGAAAATACTCTGTGGAATGCATGCTCTCTCCCAAAACTGCCCAAGGGTAAGAGCGAGGTGCGGGCGACAATGCTACAAGCGGTCCCTACTCCATCTCCGATCACTCCGAAACACCAGACACACCCCGTCCTGAGCGCCACCTGGCCTGTGTGGTACACACCCTCCCCTCCACCCTCCGGGTGGCGGCCGCGATCGTCTCCGCAGACGCCAGCGGAAACTTACCGTCCCCGACGCCCAAGGCCGCCAGTTCCGAGGTTACCTTCTCCTCCCGAGCCCGAGGGGCGGACGGCTTGGGGGAGCGATTTTGCACCCCGGAAGCAGCAAGGGAAGTGGGGTCTGGGCGCCCATGCTAGAGAGAGCCCTGAGGGAAGGGCACCAAGGCGGGTGGGGAAGGAGAGCAGCAGCGGGAAAGGAACTCGCGCCAGAAAACAAAGAGCAGCCACGAGCCGCGGAAAGTCACGTGATAGCCGGGCCGTCACGTGGCCCTGGGGGCGTGGCCTGTAGGAGGTGACGGTCCGTTAGCGAGTCCCCGGCGCCGCAGTGGAGGCTTCGGTACCTTCCGCGGCGCCTAGGGTGGCGCCATTTCCTTGACTCCACTCGCTCTTCGGGAATAGGGACGCCACCCCCCCCCCCCCCGTTTCTTCCTAGAAGGGAAAGCTGGGCCGAAGGAGGAGCAGGTGTCCGGGCACCGCGCGGAAGGAAGCACGCCCCGATACCGACGTAGGACCTGCGCGTATCCACGCGCGGTCGACGTTGCCGCGTGGTGACGTCACCACATGGTTTCCGGGGAAATAACGGGCGTTGTTGCGGGCCCGGCTGCATCCCGGGGGGATCTGGCGGTTGGTTTCCTCCCAGGGCGGCTGCGGCCGCCTCCTGGCCGCGTTTCCCCAGTTCTGGGGCCGAGGTCCCTGCAGAGCTTTCGGGAATGGAGAGGTCCAGGGAGGAGCTTTGTCCGTATGCAAAACGCTTAACAAACTTTAATAGAATAGTCCACAATCTTCCCTCAAAGCAGACTCCAGGCAGCCTCGGCTCTCGGGCAAGTCCAACCCAACATAAGGTAAATAACAAAATTTCCGTCATAATCAGATACTTCCAGATACATGGGGAAGGGGCGACAAAAAGAGTGAACAGCCCTAGCCGGTTTTGGCTCAGTGGATAGAGCGGCCGCCTGAGGCGCAGGCTGGGGTTGTGGGCTTGATCACCGGTGGGGGATGTGCAGGAGGCAGCCGATCAATGATTCTCTCTCATCATTGATGTTTCTATCTCTCCCTCTCTCTTCTTCTCTGAAATCAATAAAAATATCTTTGAACAAACATGCGCACGCACACACACGACCGTGAACACTTGAGCTTTTTAAAAGTTTTATTGATTATTAAAAAATAATTTTATTGATTTTTTTTTCACAGAGAAGAAGAGAGAGGGATAGAGAGTTAGAAACATCAGTGAGAGAGAATCATCGACCAGCTGCCTCCTGCACATCCCCCACCGGATTGGGGG